CCATTATCTGCTAGTGTTCAGTCTCAGCCCTCCAGAGGAAGACCTGTGTACCTTGAGCAGGAGGATTTACATGTGAGCTAGCACACACTGTTTACTGGCAGGCAGGAAGTGGGCGGATGGAGGAAACCCAGACGCAGAGACTGATCACTCATCCTCCCCACGTGGTTATGGCATGTTTACAGGACAGCAGCCTGGGGTTTTTTCCCTCTCTATTCAGATGCAATGTTATCATATCAACCGACCACCAGAACTCTCTACCTCCTCTTTTTGTGCTTATGTTATACAGTCATTCAAACTAAAGCTATGTCCTCAAAAATGTTCATGAGACATATTCTCAGGTAAAATATGAAGCTCTAATACAATCACTTTACCTTCATAAGTCTAAATTATTCTACAAATATTACTTTTAGAGTGATATATAAAAAAACAGATTATTTCATAAGTGAACATTTTTGACATAACTCTGATTACTTTAATGTGTCACAATTAAAGGCTAGTTGTTCGAGCATCTGTTACTTCTGCACCTTTGGTCAGCCAGCTAATAAAAATTAGCTACAACTTTTGCTTTTCACACACTTAAAATTAAGACAAATTTGGTTCGAAATATTTATCAGAGTTTTAAACTACACGCTACAAGCTGCCTGGTGAGCTTTTCAAATAAAAGTTCACATATTTATGTCAGTGGAATTATAATAGTTTCATGCAAGAATATCATGACAATCTGACAGACAGTTGTGTAATATGTTTAATGAAAAAATTATATATAGTGTTTAAAAGTCATCATGTGAAAATACATGTCTTCTGGATAAAAGTAGGAAACATTGGAAGCTAACATTTAGCAATTAATAATTTATCAATATTGTATGTATTTAAGAAGAAATTTGAAAGGATTTCTGAAAAAGAGGTAGTTTTTTTGAAATGCCATACATACCCTAAATTACACAATCACATATACAATCCTTATATATCTTTTCTTATACATAAAAATGTCTATTTAGACATTAGTTGACGTTTGTACCAAGAACTGTCACATAAGTAAACAGAAAGAGCAAATCTGTCCTGTTTTATATCAAGTGCCTGCCCTCTGTTTGCATGTTTTCTGCAGCATCCACGCTGCAGGTAGACTGCTGTAAATCTGTCAATACACTGACGTGACCCATTGCAATAATCATAAACAGGGCCTGCTGTTCCCTGTTAGAAAATGAAGCAAATAAAATAAAAATATTAACTTGTCATATATAACCTTAGCAAAAAGGTCATAATGGATGTGAAGCATGCTGTTATAAACACGAAAATATCATAACTCTTGATGATATAAGAGCAAAGATGTAACTTGCTGAGAGTATTATAGATTTAAGTTACTTCGTATCATTGCACAGACTTCACAGGTCATTAAAGTGGAACAGTTATTGTCTATGGGTGTCAGCAGTACCTTCACAATAACACAACACCGTTTCCTTGTTTCCAGGCACAGCTGTAAATTGGCAGTTTCACATACCTCGACCATTAAACAGGACATTTAACCATCCCGACTGCTCGCGGAGAACAAGTGAAGGCGACGGAATCTGGCGGCGTGTTTTCATGTCAGGAGAAACGCAGGAGAGCTCCGCATTCAGCAGGAGGAGAGCTGACGGAGCCCGAGCTGACACCTGTTTATTATAAAGCCAGCTGTTTCATGCTCTTCTCGTCAGTGACCTTGTTCACCCTGTGTGGGAGCAACAGGAGGCTGTTTAAAGAAAAACCTCGCGGTGTTTTCTCCCGCAGCGCCCGTCCGCGTGCTCTACGTGTGTATTTGATCATGAGCTGAACCGCAGAGAGCGGAGAGGGGAGGGGCTGGTTGTAGCACCAGAGGGGAGGGACTTAAGACAGAGTGGACCAATCGGAGATCGGCAATGTCACAGCTTTCATTAAGATTGGTTGGTTAGAAATGTAGGTAAACAACATGGTTTGTATTATGATTACTACACTGATAAGATTTACTCAAGGTTTATTACCTTAATTAATTACAATCGGAAAGTAAAAGAAGTAAAAACAAAACATTGAAAGAATAGTAGAACAATTTAGCCATCACATAAAAACAAAGACTGAAGACAAGTTAAAATGATCTGATAAATGAATGCTACATCTCGAAGATAAAGAATTGTAAAGGTTTCAGGAGGTTGATTTTAGAGCTGTGAAAGAGAAATTAAATGATGGCTCAGTATACAGGTATCTGATGTCCAAAGCGGTCTGCATGGTTCATTCTTGACATATGAACCATGTAACAATAAACTTTATATTCAAATCCAAGACGGCCTCCTGCCTCACACCAATGATTACCAAATGCTTCATTTCAAACTATCTATTTCCTGATGTCTTTCAGGAAATAGATAGGTGGGAGCATATTGGGTGAGCAGCAACTGCCTGATTGACTTAATGTCATTTAGTACAGAGTCCATGTCAATATATTTCTGACTTGTTCTTGCATGCTTTTTAGTTTTGTTCAGTCAAGTTATATAGAACTGCAATACGTTCACTAAGACTAACTCAGATTTCTGAAAAAAAAGGAGAAATCTTCAATTAAATTTTTTTTTTGAACTGTTAATCATCCTTGACCTTCCAACTAAGGGGATAAATAGATGTAATCATACAGGTGTAATAACACAACAAATAGCATTGAATATGCTTATTAATAAGTTTGAGATTACAGTTTATACAAACTGAAAAGTTACAGGAAAGTTAGTTATTCCGTGGTTTCTATGTGATTCTCTTTGTGGACAAATTTCTAATGCTCAGATTTTAATCTTGCATATTTGGAAGTCAGGTGAACTTCTCAGGCTGTTTGTGCCTCAAGGATTTGAAGTACTAAAATAGAGGACAGACACACTTCTATGAGGTTTTGAAAAGTCTCCATAATAAATCTTTTATAGTTTTCAATGAATACTCAAACTTTTAATAAAGATCTTGTTGTTTAGGAATCTATTCTCTGAGGCACAACAACATCACATGAATATCACTAACTAAACCATATCCAGAAGCAAGTTTTGAACAGTTTGGTCTTCATTTAAGGTGTGAATTATGAAACTGATTATATCAAGGCTTTATGACACTATAAAAGTTATTCTTCAGTGTCATGGGTGTATATTTATGTTGTGCTACTAACGTTAATATTTTAAAAAAATTGACAAGGGGTCTATAACCTTTACAATCCAGAGACCAATATTTGCTCTTATACCAGCTAAATAAAACTCATTTAGAAATGCAAATGCAGCATGACCTTTTGAAAGAAGAAAACATAACTTTTATCTGCTATAATACAGGCAATAAAATAAATGTTTTCAAGAGCAACCACTTTCTCTAATTTTTGGTTCCAAAAAAAACCCAGAATGGATACATTTTCTTCCAGAAGCAATTGATATTTGTGGAAAAATATGCCAATATTGAATGAAAAAAAAAAAGTCTAAAACAACATTATGTAAAAAACAAAAATTCCCTGCACAGTTTAGGACCCAGTCAGCCCATTCGTTTGCCAGAGGAGGTCACTGTTACGACCTTGACACTGTGCTTTGTAGCATTGTGTATATAAGGCAATACTTGGAATTCCCTTTACATGCCTTCAAAGCTATATCAACCAAAAGACTGTGGGATGTTACTCTCTTCACTGACAGAATGTCTACCTTCTCACGGTCCTAAGGGTCTGGTCTGAACTGGGGAAAAGGTCTTTTCAGTAGGTGGCTTTCTTCTGCCTGGAACCAGTTGCCGAATCTCTCAAGTGTCCAGGAGCTGATATCTCTGTTACTGTTACGTAAAGTGTCTCCAAACACAGCATGTTGAGTATTCTTTGGACAGTAAGAGGACATTTGTAGATAAAGGCAACATTTTATATGCATTATGATCTGTAAAACAAAATTATTGGTTGATTAGTGCAAGGAAAAGAAACCCAAATTTGCTTAGTGCTTATTGGATGACGTGGCCAAGTACAGTGGGTTGGATAAGGTGAACGGAGGAATGATGTTAGTGCATTTATTGCTGCCACCTAGTGGAAATGAAGAATGTTCCTTTCTTTTCATTTCACAAAACACCCTTAGTCTTATCAGTTTTTCTTTTTCTTGAGCACTTTTTTGTTACATGTAACCTTTATCACTAATAAATAGCATGTTGTGTCTGCCTGGGCATGACTGGAGTTTGCTTTTCTTTCTAAAAAGTACGGAGGTAAGACATGGCGTGAACAATAGTGGTTTAAGAAACCTTTACTGTCTCCCTTTATGTATTAAAAACTTCAAATAAAAAGCAACAGGATTCAAAGTGGAAATATTTTTTAATTCTTAATGGCCCTGAGAAGTTTCAAAAATGTATTTGGAGAACAATCTCTGACAAAGAAGCATGATTGGGGGCATTAAAACAAGAGCCTCTTCTGCATTAAACAGAAAAGAAGGGAACAGAAAATTGCCTCTTGTGCCATGTTGTACGATTTTGTCTTTTCCTAAAGGGAAGGCAGAAGACAACAACATAGCTAAAACAATACTATATATATAACACTTTTGCAGAAAAAAAAGAAGGATTTTATTGAAGACAATAGATCAAAGTTTCTGTGGGACAACCTGGTGCTATGTACAAAATGTACAGATTGTAACTGTATTTAGGGAAAAACAAGCAACAGAAAACATTTGATGTAAAACAGTGCAAATGTACTTAAACAATAACAACTTTAAAAATGGCATAGAACAGACTTCTGAATATTACCTCTACAATTTTCCTCAGATTTCTGTAAGTATGAAGGTAGGTAGACAAAAGTCTGCCTGCTTCAGTATTTGATTACATTATAAATTTTTTTTACAAACAATAAAATACTCATGTACAAAAATAGAAGCATTATCTGAACCTCTGTTTAAAGTAACAGTTTTGAAAAGGTTCTCAATCCCAACACATACCAACAACAACAAATAAAAAAGACAGAATGAGACAAACGGTTATCAGAACTCCCCCTCAAAAAAGAAAAGTTAAAAAGACGTACTCAGTAGTTTCTGCAGAAATCTGTTAAGAAGCTTGTTTATTCTAGTGATGGTCACATGTGACGTAGCATGAGTTTAACTAGTTAATAAATGGCGACGACCCTGACTGCGTCTGGTGTGATGGGAAACCTGCAACAGAAGAACGGGGTTAATATTTCTGAGACAAGACGGTGAGGAAAAGGGAATTTGGGTTGTAACTGTGGAAACATACAGGAGGCGTATCTGGGCTACCAAATGGAGAGAGTTCCACTGAATTTTCTTTGTCTGAGGAAGTGTCGTGACGGTGCTGAGCAAACTTTTTCTTTAGTGCCCGAGCAATCAGAGCGGCGGGGTCATTTAGCAAAGCAGTTTCACATTTATTGCTTCTCCTCCTGACTGGAGTGCCTCCTGGTGATCTGTAAAGAAAACAGACTCTAATGTTTACCACAAAGCAAATTTTCTGCAGCAGTTAAACAATGGAATACACAAAAAATACTTCAGATTGGAAGTTCCAAATTCAAGAACTGCTTTTCTCAAGGTCCTTTTAAAATACTTTTGGTGGAACAACAACTCAACTTTTTCTGGTATCTGAAGAAGGTGTTGTGGAAAAATAATGCAATTTATTAAATTTTTATAATTAATTTATTACTTAATTATCGCAAGTTCTGATTGGCTGAGCAGGTCCCCATAACAACTCCTGCCCCAGAAGGTCTATCTGCTGCCTGAGACAGCTTCTGATACTCAGCAAAAAGAGAGACAGAATCAACCAAGAAAACTTCTTTGAAAAGGCCAGGGGTCTCATGCATAAAGTGCGTGTGCGCACAATGTGCGGCGGCATATTTTACGCACAAGCCGGCATATATAAAAATGAACTTTGCGTCAAAGTTTGCGTAAATGCACGCACACTCTTTCACTGGCGTGAAACTGTGCGGCAGCCATGCAAACTTTTTCTGCGGACCATATCAAACTACAAAGCGTCAAAACTCCCCTAAATACACTAAAATCCGATTACATTCATCGTTATTTAGACCAAGAAGCATCGATACCGATGTTTTAGGGATTTTTTTATGAATGAAACTGAACCGCATTTATCCTCAGACAATAACCTAACACAGAAAATAAAGAAAGCAAAAATAAAACGGATGTGAAAACCTCAATAGGATGTAAAAAATATATTTCCTCAGTTTTTGTCTCATAAAGATGTAACAGTGTTCTGTCCAAAATGCATCCATGGGGTAATTTCATTCTCACTAAAAAATAAAAAAATGTTTGGATCATCAGATAAAGTCCAAACAGGTTTGATTATATATCTATTATCTGTGTAGATAATCATCAGGTTTAATTATCTACTTGTTTGTAGATAATCACACATGTTTAAGTACCTGCATAAAGGTGAGCCTCTAACTGTGGAGCACCTTGGCTCTGATGGAGCACATCGCCAATGGAAGAATTCAAAGGGGCCGATTGATCATATTGATCTGCTGGGAAATATTGATCTAGAGCAGGGGTGCTCAAATCCAGTCCTCGCGAGCTACCGTCCTGCAACTTTTAGATGCAGCCTTACTCCAGCAGACCGAGATCAGCTCTGAACAGGTCTGGTAATGAGCCATTCATTTGATTCAGGTGTGTTGGAGCAGGGATGGATCTCATAGTTGCAGGATGGTAGCTCTCAAGGACTGGACTTGAGCGCCCCTGATCTAGAGTTTAGATTAATCCAGACTGATTATCCTGGAGCTCTGAGCAGAACTTATGGAAGTCCAGTCCAGCTGCAATCATCCTTCAGTGGAGCCGCCAACTTTGTGAATGCGCCTTTCTGGACAGAAAGCAACTCTACTCTTTAAATGTACAACTTATGCACATGATTCCACTATTTTTAATAAACGTCCATTTTACCCACTTAAATGACTCTCTGTCTGTCTTTCAATACCTGGCTGAATGCTCTGCTGTTCAAACAGGCATTTGCACAATCTCTTTATTTTCTGTTTATTATTATTATTTGTATTTTTTTCCTTTATTTAAAATGTATTATTCTTACTTTTTTTTTTTTTGAGGTTATGTTATGTTCCCTGAAAGCACCTTTTAAATATATATCATTACAATTATTATACTGCTACAAACATTTTACGTTGCCATGGTTCTTGCTTCTCGTGGTGGCAGACTTCCAGGTATTTATACTAATTTACATATGTATTTATGGAGGCGACAAGTTCTTCTTGAGAACAGAACAAAATCTTACCTCTGAACTGAACGCAGTTTGACTTGATTTAAATCCCTCAGAACGTCCAGCATCGAAGGAATCAGTTTGTTTTCCATGTTTTTGCTGAACCCTGATTGCTGGGCCTGAAGCTGACCCTTATCAGAGTTGTTGTTCCTGCGCTTTTTGATCAGATCCATCACAGATGATTTCTCGCTGAAGGCGCTTTGGGAAGAAGGAGGCAATGGAGGAGGTGGAGGAGGAGGGGGAGGTGCATGAAGAGGTGTGGAGGTGAGAGCCGGGAGTGGAGCAGGGGACATCAGAGGTGAAAACGGAGCATTCTGGGTGTCAGTCAGAGCTGAAAAGTAAGGAAAGGATCATTAAGATCATTATTTTTAGAGTGTTTGGTTTGCAGAAAAATCTCAAATGTACCTGAGGTTGGAGCTGCAGTAACAATCATGGCGATCTGAGCCCGAAGCTTGAGCAGTTCACTCTCCAGCTGGGTGATCTTCTGCAAGGCTTCAGGATCAGCCCTCTGTCGCACACAGCCTTCTCCTCTTCTCTCAGCTTGATTCTGAGCCAACCTGGGAAATCTCATCAAGTCTTGACTAAAAATGCCATCTTTCTTTGGAGGTAAATGGTTCCTTAAAAATCACACACAATAATATCAGTAGTGCATTTCCTTTTAATCCTGCTATTAAAATATGTTAGCGGGTATACATTGTGTATACATTGTGCAAACATGTGTTCACTTTTCATAAAGCTTTAATTATAATTCAGAACTGTTAAACTTAATAAGCAGAGCACTGTTAGTCTTTCCTTTGTGAAATATTTAACAAACCTTGTAAGATTATAGCAGACAATTGAAACATAATTTGAAACTTTTGACAACTTCCGTTATAAAAGACACATATCCTGAATAATTCATCTGTAAAAAACAAATCTCTCACACGAGAATGGAAAAAAAAAATGCAAAAGCTGATGCAACCTCGCTGCATAAGTCTGCAGACCCTCTGTTTTTTTTTTTTTACTGGTATTTTGAATTGTGTAGAAAAATCTAGGAAGCATCCTATATCGGAATCTACATCACTTTCTACTGATGTTGCTCATGTTTTAGGTCATTGTATTGGTCTGATAAGAAATACTAGCTCAACATTAAAGGCCGATGTTTATTTACAATATGTTGCACTGGACCCCCTGTGTGTTTCAGAAGGGAATAGGGTTAATGATGTAGTACTTGTTCAGTCACGAGACATTGATAGTTATGCAGTGCATGGTTATAAGGATGTTCAAAGCAGAAAAGCAACGTAGGCAAACTGGTTGCTTTTACACAGTATTGAAAGTGTGGAAAGATATACGTATAACATCAGTTATTGGCCATAACTACAATATTAATAATGAACATTCACCCAAATTTTCAATCGATGCATCCTTACAAAATTTATAATTATCTACCATTTATCATAAATAATTCAAAATATTAATGAGCTTTCAAAGTTAGATTTATAACCAACTGCAATCATAGAAATGACTGAACTCTGCAGTTCATAAAATTAAGTACATATTGTTTTGCTCTTTTTAGTTTAACTTTTTTTTTTACCGACTATCACTAAATAAGTTTCTAGTTTAATTTGTGTTTTCCTAATATAAAAACAAAAGGAAAAAACAATTATAGAAAAAAAGAAAAGAAAAAAAAAAGCATTTTGATCTTCTGATGCATTGTCATTCATTCTGTACCTGGTTCTGGCAAAGCTCTCCCCCTCATAGTCAAACACCCACATGACATCTGCAAATGTTGGTATGGCAGGTGCATCAGCTTCTATCTCAATGTATCCATGGGGCTTATAGGTAACCAACGGGATCTGAGATAAAAATAAATAAAAAAAAATCATAGCTAAATTCTGAGAGGAATTAATTATCATATTATATGTTTTTATCCAACTCTAAATATTTTAAGTGATTTTTTTTTTTTTTCAGTAAATGTCAGAGAAATGGTAGGAATCTACATAACTTTAATAAATAAGATTACAGAAAACCTTTCTTGTTACCAAAAGGATTCTTAATTAATTAAAACAGAAACCCTAATTGCACATTAGGAAAAGTAATTACTGGATCAATTAAGAAAAGCTACTATGAAAAACAGAGATTGTGCAACTATCTCGAGATAAACACCACTTTATGTTCTAATTACCTGAAAATGAACACGTGGAGTGGGCTTCAGTGGGAGATTCGTGCCGATCATTCGTACAATGCTGCGATACTGACCGCACAGCTGAGTGTCCCACACAGGAACAAGCTGCAGTCAGGATGAAAAATAAGTAAGAAACAAGTTAATGTGACACAGCGGTGAGAAGAGAGATTACAAATGTTGCATTTATTGAGCTGTAACAGGACTGCAGCGTCAGCAGGCTTACCATTTCTGGAGGTACACCAAAATAGTCCAGGACCATCCGCAGCACATAAAGAATATCCTCTACTAAAGACATGGCAAGGACTTTTTCCTGCAGCAGCTGATGACTGCAAAGCTTCTGTTTCTGCTGACGGATAAATGGTGAGGCAACCACAAAGAGAAGTCACCTGAAATGACCACATAACACACCCGACCAAGTCTTGATGGCATCAAATTCCAGAACGCAAAGACAGACATTTTAATGCAGAATAAGCTCATGTTCTTACAAAATAGATCTATCCAAATCATTCAAACAAATTCAATCAGTGCATGGTCTATTTAAAAGGTTAAAAACTTGTATACCATATATTAGCACACATTTATAGGGGCATGAAAAAAACAAAACAAAACAATCCAACACAAAATGTTCATAAAATCATTTGGAGAGGTTTAAAAAACAACAATAATAATAATGTGAACGGGTAACTGCATAAATTCAGAAAGAATGTCAAGCTTCAATGCTTTTATGCTGATTGATGTGTGTGTAATCAGTATTATGCAGGAAGGACAGGACTCTCTTCAATAACGACAAAATATTAAAACAGAACGTGAGAGACAACGAAGCAGATATAAAACTGGACAGAAGGCAAATATTCCATCTGCAACGCTGCTGAGCTGGTAATGCAAACCCTTTTAAGCTGGTGCCATTTTAACCCAAAACATGGTCACAACACATGGTCAAAACATGGTCACAACCAACATAATTTTAATAGCATACGGTCAGGAAATCTTTCAGATCTTTAATCATCCTCTTTTAAATTAGTTCAGCTGAAAACCCTGATATTTTTAGATATCGGAACTAGAATATTACTTTAAGAGAAAAGAAGTACTGTCCTGACTGAGCACTGCAGTCCCGCAATGCACGGGGGAAAGCTGCAGAGGTCATCAAAAGTAAAGTACCTGAAAACGCCGCAGCGAAGATGAGGTTTCAAAAGTATAAATCATAAGAACTTACCGTCAACTCTTCCTATAGTCAGAGAAGCCACATGTTAATAGTCAGGCATCTCCTCAATCCTTTGCCGAAATTGAAATTAAACCAGTTTAGAAAAAGCAGTTTGGTTCCTCACGCGTCTAAGCAGCACATCCGTAAAGTCAAATAATGCCGCAGTAACAAAACCCTTCCTGATTGGCTGCAGATTGAGGAGTGGGGCAAATATCCAATAGGAGAGAGCGACTTACAAACGTTTGGCACCGTATGTCAACCAATAGCTCGTCGCGAGAGGACCCACCAAATTTGTATTTTTCTGCACGAGCTACTTCTTCTCTTTGGTAAGGAAACGCATTTATGTTCCTTTAATAACGTCTATTACATTGTGGGGACCTTTATTGAATGTAATTAGCGAAGGTTCATTGTTTAAAGTTTGAACAATCAATGAAATGTATTTTAAGTCGCGTAGTTTCTTAACAATGTCATAAGACAGTAGCGTCGTTAGCTTGCCATAATGGAATGCAGAGGATCGGATCGTTTATGTATATTTTACAAATAACCCTTTTTTCCAAAGATGAGTGTTAAACTTTACTATTTGATCATATTTATGTCTTGTCTCTTTTAAAATAAGCCACATACTTGAGATTTAGGCGCTTCAAGACAACTCTTTCCACTTGGTTTTGACGTCAAAAATGGCCGGATTGTCATTGAACGTATCTTCCAGTTTCAGGTTTGGCCAGATTTTCAGACATGATGGATGCACTGTCGGTGGTGTGTCAGCTGCGGGACCTGGCGTCTGAACCACAGAACCGAGCTGTGATTGTCCAGGACCAAGGTTGTCTTCCAGGACTGGTTCTCTTCCTGGACCACCAGAATCCAGAAGTGTTGTTTGCAACCCTGCAGGTACAGAAATGTTGCAAAAGTATTGATTTCCCCTTAAAATGTTTTAGATACTCAAAATATGCATATCATTTGTTTTGTTTTTTTGTGCTACGTGTATTGTAAAGTATAAGAACATTAATAAATGTTCTCAAAATGTTTTATCTCAATAATTAAGTGATGATATATCCTGTCCTCCAGACATAAATCACCATAATTTGTATTTGTTTTGACTGTTAAATTGAAAACCAGTCAGTCATATTGAACAACCAGTCTTTATTGTTTAAGAAATAAAAAATGTACAATGCATGATTTTTTTTTTTGAATTATTATTTTTATTTATTTGTGTTCAGACTCTTCGTTATCTGGCTGAATTGCCTCTCAATGTACCCATTATGAAGAATGAGCTGGGTATGATGGTGAGCTTGGAAAAACTTATCAGGAGGTAAGAAATTTGACAATATTAAAAAGATAATACATTTTTATAAAGGTGATACTTTTATGCTGGAAAATATGCATCACCCAGTGTGGCTTATCAATACAGTAGATACAAGTGATGTTTTTTCCCCACAGGGAGGGCCTGTCTCTTGATATCACAGCTCTGGCTAAAGAGGTTTATAGCATTCTGAGAGCACCTGCTAATCCAGCACCACGCACACCGGAGAGGGAGAAAAGAAGGAAGCCCCAGTTCTTTATCAATTCTACCAACAAGAAGGCTAAGTCTGTGACATTACACATCCAGGGGTTGGACAGCACCGTAAGTTTTCTAACTTATTTACAATCTGATTTATGCTTCATCTCGTTTACTCTTGCATTTTCTTACTGCGTTCAAGCAACAAAGAGGCTTATGTGAAGAGGCTCTTCTGAAAGTCAAAGGGGTGATCAGCTTCACTTTTCAAATGGCCTCAAAGAGGTGCACAGTCCGCATCCGTTCGGACCTTCCCACCGAGGTAAAGAGAAGGCATTCAACTTTATTTTATTCTGGTTTATGCCTGATTGAAGCCCGTCGAATGCAACCAGGAAAAAAAGTGGTGCATTTTGTCTGAACTTGTGCATTTTCTGTCAGAGTCTGGCCACAGCTATCGCTTCCACTAAGGTGTTGTCGGCTCAGCAAGTGGTGAAAAACGAGGCCGGAGAAGAGGTGAATATCATTCAAATAGAATTTCTGCAAATCCAGACTGAGCTTTTAAAATATTTAATATCTCTTCCTTCAGGTTTATGTCCCTCTGAACTCTTGTGGCGCTCAGGTGCCACAAAACGCAGACATCCCAGACTACCTCCCAGAGGACGAAGAGAGCCCACAGAGGGATGTTGACAAAGCAATTTCCCGCACTGCAGCTAAGGAAGATTCCAGCGGGAGCTGGCTGAATGCTGCTGCTAGTTTTCTCACAAAAACCTTCTACTGGTAAAGCTCTGATTTTGTCCTAAAAATGTCCATCTAGACTCCCTCTTCTCATTGCTGAGATGGAGTCCTCATACAAGCTGGAATGTTTGCTGATATGAGGGGTTTTGTCGAGTCTGCCATTCAACAAGCAACTACAAAATCATTGCTTTGTATGTACAGATTTGCCTTTCTAAAAATCTTTCACGCTAAATGAAAGTAAACTTGTGTATGTCTCTTTCTTTTTTGTGTTCCATTTACTTTGGACTTTTTAATTTGTTTTTGCCTTTTCTCAGCATCGTTTACCTCCCAACATGTCAGTCATGTTCATCTTACTGTCTTACTGTTTGTGACTACTTGAACTGGTTTATGCTGAAATAAATGTACAAAGATTGTCTGTATTGTTTGTGTGCATTGCCTCTTTTGCTCTAAGAAGTAAAAGAAAGTCTGTCCAAGGTAACCAGAGTGAATATTTAATCGGTTCCAAAATGTTTAATTTTCCAACAAATAGAGATGTAATAATTTTACACTTCAGTAATACAATGGTTCAAAACTTTCTTCCCATCCACGGTCCTTAAAGGATTTGTTTGCTTTCAAATTTTTATGGTCTTTCAGAAAATTTCCACTTACTGATATTTACAAACGTATAGTCACATGATGTTAACAGTCCAGCTGGTAGAAAACAACTAGCTGAGTGAAAAATGTATGAGAAGCTGCTAACAGTGGGGTCAGAGCATTTAATCTGGCTTCAGATGTTTGCATCAAAAGGAAGACATGGGAGAGTTTGGCTGCAAATGCCAGAACTCAGGAATGCAGATTCACCTTCAACTCAGAGTAGAAACAATGTCGCCCTACGCAGCAAGGCAACCAACTTCACACTTAGCAGCATCAATTCACAACAATTATTCATTTGTTTGATCAGCTGTAAATTATTTCAAGTCATTTTTAGCTGTCTTAGGCCAAACAAAATTCAGCTTCTAACAGCCCAGAAAAAGAAAAAGTAAAACTCTTCCAGTACTCTGGGGCAAGTTGTAGGATACAGCTTTGACTGAGTTTTAACTATAAAAAATGGCTTCAACCCAAAGTAAAGTTCTGGAGAAAAAAAGGACGTAGGCAACTAGAAGAATCACATTATATCTGTACAGCAATTAAATGAAGCTAAACAGAAATTAGAAGTTTATGCCCCATTTCTCTGTTGCCTAAATAAAACAATCTTCTTTTAATAATTACTTAAAACTAAAGTTTGTAATACTCAATCATCCTGGCTCTGTCGATAGAATACATTGCATTATGTGACATTTCCAGATAGTCTCTATAAAACTTAGTTCCATCACGCCATCACTTTTGTACCAATTCAACCAAAACTGCTGAAGCTACACGAAAACTGCATCAGAGCCTTATTTTTCTTTCACATTGCAGACGCTGAAAATTAGGTTAAAGAACATCTTCAACGAAAATGCTTCAAGTATCATGGTTGGACTGAAAAGGTTTTCACTCAATCTCAGGAGTTGAAGTTGTATTGTGATTTTGGGGCGTTAGAGAACTGTTCGGGAACAAGAAGATATGACCAACTGTCATGGAGAAAATTAGCTCTTTGCCTAAAGGAAAAGACACTTCTCTTGGAAAGGATGTCTTTTTTTTTTTTTTGGAGTTCTTTGGAGACACTGGTTTTGGGACATGGCAATGGCCATTTTCGTCCACAGGAGAAAGAGAGTATAATATGGTGTTGCTAATCTCTCCTTTGGTTCAGTCTTCATAGCTCCATGATTCTCTGCCTCCTTCCGAGCGCTTCTCCTGTCTTCGTGGCTGTGGAGTCCAAAGCGTTCCAAAGCGGCGTCAGGCTACATCTGAATTTCAAAAAAGAAAAGGCAAAGGAATAAGAGCAAATAAATAAATGCAGTATAACTCACTAACCTAAAAATATGAAAGAATAAAGTAAATCTTTTTGAAAGAACAAGTGTTTCCTATACACACACATCTACAATCAAACAGTCCTGTACAATACATTTCCAGTCCAATTTTGTCATCTGTTTTCACATATGTTATCTTGAATATTAATAGTTTTACACACTTTGTACCAGACAACATAATCTAATACCATTTACAGTTATATTGGATGAATGCAACATTTGTGTAGGAAAAATATGTAAATACTGATGTAATTTTTGTCAAACGTGTCTGCTAGAAATTATTCACAAGCACCAACATCCGTATATTTCTATTGTAAGGTTGAGTGTACACGTTACATGACACATGTCCAACTGAAGGTGGTATAATAAGTCGTATTGACCTGGTCCCTGATGAGCTGATATGTCTTCAACTGCACTCAGAGGCTTTAGAAGACCGTTCTCCATGAAGGCTACGACAGAAACCTTACTCTCCTCTTCCTCCGTCTCCTGCTGCTCCTCTCCTTCGGGAGGAGACAACCTGGAATGTGAAGGCAGCGAGATCACCTCTTCGAACTCCCCGTCTCCCTGTCAAAACCAGAGTGGAAGTAAAAAAAAAACCTAATTTTAAATGTTGCCATCAGCGCTGTAATAAACAGGATAGAAGTGAAGCGGTACGCTACCGCTGGTCAGGGCGGCTCAGAGGAGTGGTGCTGGGTTGTGGGCTGAGGTCAGGTTGGTGACCGTTGCTGTTTGTCTGAGGCACGGTGGCTGCAGGTGCTGCAGGAGAACCAGAGCTCACTGATGGAACAAGAACAGTAGCTATCAGTAGCATCCTTCAGTCGAACAACAGAGGAGAGGTATTTTTGGGAGGAGAGGTGTTTCCTGTTACCTGCGCTGTCTCCGGTCCTGACTTTCTGAAGATGAGGGAAATGAGAATAAACATTTTGAAAGGTGTCTTAGGTGCGTTTTCGCTTTTTAACCAATATGTGCTTTTACCTTATCTGATGTGTCTGAGCGTCTGGTTCTCTTCATAATCTCCTCAAGTCGCTGCAGGAAGTAAGAAAGGAGATAATTTAATTCAAAAACATAGGTGATTTTTGGATGGACTATTTATTAGTGTTTGAAGACGTCACCTTTTTTCTCTCCAATCGTTCTGCTTCTTCCTTCTGAAAGTGCTTCTCCCTCTCCTGCCTCAGTCGCTCTGCCTCCTCCCTCAATCGAGACTCCTCCTCCTCTTTCTAATCCAATCACAGAGACAAGCATTGAGACAGAGCTCAGCTAAATTCAGCACCAACAGGCAAATCTCACTGAACCAGAATAATAATAGAAAATCATGCAATAAGAACATTAATGGAAAATACTCAGATGATAATATTATTGAAGATTAAAGCTGTTCTCTCCTCACTTGTGTCTTTTTTTATTTTTTCTTGCAATTGTGACATTTAATGTTTTAGGAAAAATGATGGTTTTCCAATTACTATGTTGGTCATGACATAACATTTCTGTGTAAAATATATTCTTAATTGACCATAAGTAATATATACTTTTTGATAAACTAAATGTTGTGTTTTCACACAAGTACTGATAATCATGGAACCAAAACAAAAAAGAAAAGATTGCTGTGTCCTTTGACCTGTTTCTGAAGTCTCTCTGCCTCTTCTCTCTCCCTCTGAAGTCTCTCTTCCTCAGCCTTTCTCTCCTCCTCCTCATGCCTTCTCCTCTCCTCTGCCAGACGCTGGGCCTCCTCTTCTCTCTTTGCTCGCTCTTCCGCTTTACGACGAGCCATCTCCTCCTTTGCTAATCTGAGCGGAGAGAAACAAATTACATCAACGCAAGTCAACCTGCAGCATCGGTGACACCAACAGATGTCCTCAAAGGGCCTCCGTACCTCGCTGCTCCTCTTGTTGCCTCCGTTCCTCCTCCTCTCTCTCCCTCTGCTCCCGGGCCAGTCGCCGTTTTTCGGCTAGGATCCGACTGGCCTCCTCTGGATCTGTGGTACCAGCTGACGGTTTCTGAGTTGGAGGACTGCTTATAGTCTCTAGAAAACATCATAAAAGAATTGTTGAAACAAATACATCCTTCCAGCATGATTTACTTCTTTATGACTGACCGTTGACTTCAGCTGGTGCCTCACTCGGGGGATTGTTCTCTCCCAGTGGCTGAGGTCTGGGTTGGGGAGGACTGAAAATCTTCGCTTCTTCCTCTTCTTCCTTTGGAGCTGCTGTTGGCGTTGAGGGTTGAGAGTGCTCAGGTGTGATCCTGACAGGTCGAAGGTTTCCGGGATCATCTGAAACTGAGATTTAAGTAGCTTGGGAGTTGGGGGACGTCCCAGTGTCTTTTGTGGAGGTCTGTGAGCAAACGAGAATAAAAATGATATTAGAAGCTAAGGTCAAAATAAGAAATTTATTCAAGCTTTATTGAATAAAGTTATTTTGCTCAATAAATTTTATTATTTATTATTCAAGCTTCATATTTGTTTTGGAGAGAACAATAGATTCATCTACCTGCCAGCAGAGGGTGGTGTTGCTTTGTTGGACTTTTTGCCTGAAGAAATGGTGGACTTATTGGGAGTAACGTCAGAACAGGAGCCAATGGAAGGGACAGGTTGCTCCAAGACTTCCTGATGCCATCACGCTCCTTATGCTTATACAAATTTTTAAGATGCAATGATAAAAAATATTAACATACACTTCTTTGTTTGCTTCATGTTCCCTCTGTATCTAAGCAAATTGGTACAATACCATGATAAAGTAATTACGTCTTACACAGCATGAAATAAAAAGTTTGGGGTCGTTACATACCAAATGAAAACTAACACAAAAACAAAGTAGACAATCATTGTGAGGCAGAAGGAAATGACACATGGTTTTCAAGTTTTACACAAATATAAAATTGAGGTCTGTGACATAGATATTTATCCAACCTCCTTAACTCTCATACCCCCAAATAAAATGAATCTATCCATCTAAATGGAGAGGTGAGAAAAGGAAGAAATCTGTGTCTGTTTGGAAAACATTTGTGCTAGGAAATATTCCTTCCATACCTGCGTAGTTCCTGTGGTCCTCCTACGAGCGGTGGAGGAGGCCGGCAACGTTTTCTCTCTGCTCAGGTTCCTGTCCTGGCTGCGACAGTGAGGGAGCACTTGGGCCTGCAGGGTCTTGAATGACATGGCGCCCATGGGGTGGCAGGAAACTGAGCGAGGACACACAGGCATGGCTACAGTGATGATGCACAAGGTGGAAGGGGAGGTTTGGAGTGTTTTGGAGGTATGATTCGGAACAGTGTGG